CTCGGCACCTGGCTGTCCCCGGGAGGCCAGGGCTCCGTTCCCATCGCGTCCTCCGGGGCCGAAGGGCATGTCGCCCTCTCTCTCATGGCAGGGCGCCTCCCTGACATCTGGGCGGGCCGCTCCTCCCCGTGCTGCCCTGCCCCTTAAGCAGCAGGCGTTTGGCTTCACGCAGATTCACAAGGTCCCTGTGCCCCAACCCGCGCTGAGGGGCGTCCCCACACCCATACCGGCCCCTGCTCCCTGCTTGTCCCCAAGCAGAAGGCCCGGACTCAGGGTTCCCAGGGCGGCCCCTGCTCCCTGCAGCCTGAGTCACCGTGTCTCACACTTGAACACACGGGCACACTCCCCCTTTACCCTCAGCAGGACCCTCCCGTCCACCTCTGAGCTCACAACCCCTCCTCAGTCCTCCTTCACCTGGGATTGGGAAGCCCAGCACACGGCCCACCTCGCCCTGAGCCCCGCCCACCTTGCTCCGAGCCCCGCCCACCTGGCCCTTAGTCCCGCCCCTACCTTTGGTGCCATAGAGATTATTGAAGTTCTTCTGGTTGATGTCCTTGGGGAGGCGGCTGGGGGACACGGGCTGGTACGACGTCCTGGCCCCCCCTGGGAAGCAAAGGGGAAGAGCTGTCATCGCAGAAGGTGGGGCTGCTTACTCAGGGCGGTACCTCTGACCTGAAGGGCCCCCAGCGCCTGTCCCAGGGCCCAGATGCCACTACGACAGCTCACTGGGGGCTGGAATAAGGTGATACGTCATTTACCCCCCAGCCCCAAGTCGGGACACTTTCCTAACCATGCCAAGAGCACCAGGTGTGGCCTGGCCAGCCCTGGACACAGGGATGCATCTGGTCACCTGCTCGAGACTGAGGGTCACCAGGGGCTGGAGAGGCCAACACGCCACCCTGGGCCAGTCCCCTGTGGCTGCAACCCCCGAGGCTGGGACACCGGGCTCCTGTGAGGACGGGTGGCCACGGGGACTGTGAGGTGCTGGACGGTGGCCCCGGGCCAGCAGAGGCTGAGGAGCGGGTGCCCATGGACATGGCCAGGTGCTTCTCTGGGAGAGGGTCCTCTGCCCCCCACCCCGATGTGGCCTCTGACATCAGTCTTGAGAGGGTGGCGGGCTGGGATACACACACCCCTTTACAGACGAAAAAACACACTCCTGCCCTGGCCGGCGGGGCTCGGTGCTGAGTCGGCCTAGGAACCAGGTCAGGGTTCAATTCCCAGTCAGGGCACAGGCCCGGGTTGTGGGCTCGATCCCCAGGGTGGGGCGTGCAGGAGGCAGCCGATCATGATTCTCTCTCATCATTGATGTTTCTCTCTCTCTCTCTCCCTTCCTCTCTGAAATCAATAAAATATATTTTTTTAAAAAAGAAAGCATACTCAGGTCCTTCTGTGGGCCCTCCCTCTGCAGAGCCAACCCTGTCCGGTTCCAGCCCCTGCCCAGCCCCTGCCGGTCCTCCCTCCGACCCTCCCCCTGCAGTGCTCGCACCTCTCTCCAGCCAGGCCCTCACGCCAGGCCCTCTGCACTGAGCCCACTGCCTCTTGCCGGGCCCTGGAGACCACCCCTCCTGGGAGCCCGACTGACCAGCCCCACTGCCCGGAGCCCCCAGACTCCAGCGGGCAGCCCTCCGGGGGCCACGCTTCCTGAGTCTCTGACCCTCTTTGGCCCCAGAGGACACATCTCCTCCTGTTCCAGGGCAGGCGGGGCTGGGGCACGGGGTCGGGGGTTGGGGGGCACCTGCTTCTCCCCTGCAGATGCCCAGCCCCACGCACAGGGCCAAGAGGATCCTTCCTGGCATCCTCTCTTCTCAGACAGGGACAGAGGGTGGTGACAGTCAGGCTGTCAGGGGACACGGTGGGGTGCTCTGACCTCCCTCCCCATCACTGCCCTCCTCCTCGCAGCCTGCGGGGGAGCTGCCCTCCACACCGTTGTCCACAGAATGGGGGGGGGGCAGAGCAGGGGCAACTCGGGGCTCAATGCCCAGAGGCCTGGGGAGCGCGGAGAGAGGCCAGGTGGGGAGCTGGGATCTCACAGAATGTGTCCAAAGGGCAGCACCAGGGGTCAGGGGTCGGGGGGCAGGACTCGCTGTCCACACCAGGACTGTGGGGGTGGGGTCAGGTGCGGCTGCCTCTCCAGGCCTCCACCTGAAGTCCAGGTGCTGTTTTCTCATTGGGTGGGGTGGCTACTCTGAACTGAGCTCATCCCTCCCACCCCTGCACCCCACCCAGTGTGTGTCCCAGGGGGTGAGTCAGTGCGGGTTAAGGCCTCCTCCGCGCATCCTTTCTGCCTCTCCCCACATGTCTTCTCCCCCAGTATGTGCCTGCA